CCAAAAAGGGTGGCAGCCAAAAGTTTCCCTCTGTTGATGGTTTTTATTCGGCTGTCGTTTCGCAAGAAACCGAGATGCTATGGGCCATTTGGCCAAGGAATGCGTTTGATCCCTGCCTCCACTCCCAGCAAACTGCACGGTGCGTCTGGGTCCTCTGTTCCTCCTCCTCCTCTTCCAGATGCTCCTGCTCCCCCACTCCGCCGCTGAGTGGAAAAACCACGCATTTCATCAATAATTCCTGAGCACAAAATGTCCTCCTCTACCTACGCCTCTTCTTACTGTCCTGCACCCACAGGGTCATGTGGCGTTGAGATGTCTGGGTGACACGTTCTTACAGCACCTGACCAGCCAATTTTTACAGCATTGTTCCAGGACGTGAAACAGGAATGACGGTCGTTGCATCCCATAGTCCTGCCGACTCAAACGAATAGCGTGGCCTCCTCAAAAAAAAATAGGGGTTGAACTGGAGCAAGCGGCAGGTGTCATGCAGGAGTGCCATATGGCTGACATCTAGTTACCAGGGGCAAGTACCTTTATCCAGCTTGTAAACATTCAGGAAATCGGTTGATGGCCTTTCGCTGTTCGTTAAAGGCGGCTCTAACATATTGTAGGGTGGAATTCCACCTTGTTTGAACGTCACAGCATGAAGGTCGGTTAGGGGGCCATGGCAGATACGGGCTGGCAGCAGCAATGGAGGCCGTAATCTGCCAGCACCCTATGACAATATGGACACACCAGCAGTGTGAGGAGACCTGAATAGTGGCACATGGCAGGAGTGTGGCGAGGGAGACAGCAGCAATGGGAGGGCCGTACATGGAACCCATGGACAGATTACGGGCCGGGGCTAGCAGCATGAGGATGGCGGTACAGGGGCCTTGACAGATTACGGGCCTGGCAGCAGCAATGGGAGGCCCGTAATCTGCCGAACCTATACAAAATGGAACCCACCAGCAGGTGTGAGGAGACCTGGAATAGTGGCAACATGGACACAGTGGATGTGGCGATGAGAGACCAGGCAGCAATGGGGGAGGGCCGTTACCGGGGACCATGAGACACCTAGGAATGGCAGCAGCAGGAGGATGCGATTAAGGGGGGCCATGCAGATTACGGGCTGGCTGGGAAGCAGGCAGCAATGGGCAGAGGCCGTAATCTGCGCAGCACCCTGTGACAAAATGGAACCCACAGCAGTGTGAGGAGCCCTGAAAGTGGCCACATGCAGGAGTGTGGCGATGGAGAACAGCAGCAATGGAGAAGGCGGGTTACAGGGACCTATGACAGATTACGGGCCTGGCAGCACGCATGAGGAGTCGGTATGTTCAGTGGCCATGGCAGATTACGGGCCTGGCAGCAGCAATGGGGAGGCCCGTAATCTGCCAGCACCCTATGACACAAAATGGAACCACAGCAGTGTGAGGAGACCGCGAAAAGTGGCACATGGCAGAGTGTGGCGATGGAGCCGACAGCAGCATTGGGAGGCGTATACGGGACCCATGAGACACTCTGGACCTTGCGGCTCCAGCAGCATGAGGAGGCGGGTACGGGGGCCATGGCAGATAACGGGCCCTGGCAGCAGCAATGGGAGGCCCCCCCCGTAATCTGCCAGCACCCTATGACAAAAATGGAACCACACAGCAGTGTGAGCGGAGACCTGAAGTGGCACATGGCAGCGTGTGGCGATGGGAGCACTGCAGCAAGGGAGGCCGTACAGGGACCCATGAGAGGACTTCTGGACCTGGCAGCTAGCATGAGGGAGGCGGTAATACGGCAAGGGCCCATGGCAGATTACGGGCCTGGCAAGCAGCAATGGGAGGGCCCTTAATCTGCCAGCACCCTATGACCAAAATGGAACACTCCCAGCAGTGTGAGGAGACCTGAAAGTGGCCACATGGGCAGAGTGTGGCGATGGAGACAGCAGCAATGGGAGGCCGTACAGGGACACATGACAGACTCTGGAGCCTTGGCAGCAGCTTGAAGAGGAGGCGGTACTAGAGGGGCCCTTGCAGATTACAGGGGCCTGGCAGCAGCAATGGGAGGCCCGTAATCTGTCCAGCACCTATGACAAAATGGAACACACCAGCACGTGTGAGGAGACTGAAAGTTGGCACATTGGCAGAGTGTGGCGATGGAGACAGCAGCAATGGGATGTATGCGGCAGTTTACAGGACCCATGACAACACTCTGGACCTGCACAGGCAGCATGCGGAGGCGGGATCAGGGGCCCATGGCAGATTTCGGGCCTGGCAGCCAGCAATGGCGAAGGCCTAGTAATCTGCCAGCACCCTATGGACCAAAATGGAATCCACACAGCGTGTGAGGAGACTGAAAGTGGCACATGGCAGAGTGTGGCGATGGAGACAGCAGCAATGGGAGGCCGTTTTACAGGACCCCATGAGAGTACACTCTGGACTGCTTAGGCATGCATGTGAGGCGGTAGGTACTGGGGCCCTATGGCAGATTACGGGCCTGGCAGCAGCAATGGGAGGCCCGTAATCTGCCAGCACCCTATGACAAAATGGAACCCACCAGCAAGTGTGAGGAGACCTGAAAGTGGCACATGGCAGAGTGTGGCGATGGGAGACAGCAGCAATGGGAGGCCGTTTTTTTACAGGACCCATGAGACCACTCTGGACCTGGCAGCAGCATGAGGAGGCGGTACGGGGGCCCATGGCAGATTACGTGGGCCTGGCAGCAGCAATGGGAGGCCGTAATCTGCCAGCACCCTATGACAAAAATGGAACCCACCAGCAGTGTGAGGAGACTGAAAGTATGCACATGGCAGAGTGTGGCGATGGAGACAGCAATGGGAGCGTACCATGGGACCATGACCACTCTGAGACCAGGGATGCCCATGAGGAGACAGTCTGGCCCATGGGACAGGCCTGGCGAGCAGCATGAGGAGGCGGTTACGGGGGGCCCATGGCGATTACGGGCCTGGCAGCAGCAATGGGGCAGGCCCGTAATCTGCAGCACCCTATGACAAAATGGAACCCACCAGCAGTGTGAGGAGACCTGAAAGTGGCACATGGCAGAGTGTGGCGATGGAGACAGCAGCAATGGGAGGCCGTACAGGGACCATGACACACTCTGGACCTGGCAGCAGCATGAGGAGGCGGTACATAGGGCCCATGGCAGATTACGGGCCTGGTCAGCAGCAAGCGAGGCCCCTTAAATTGAAGGCCGGGTCCGTATGACAAAAGGAACCCACCAGCAGTGTGAGGAGACTGAAAGTGGCACATGTTTGGGGCATGATTCATGGCGGATTTAGTCAGTTGTGTCAGGAACTGGTGGTTTGAAATCCAGACTAATCCACGCCTGATTCATTTTCACAAACGTGAGTCTCTCCACACTTTGGGTGGACAGTCGTGTCCTCCGCGGAGTTACAATACCTCCTGCCGCACTAAAAACACGCGCTCCGATGCCACGCTACTGGCCCGGGCATGACAGCCTTTCAAGGGCAAATTCAGCTAGTTGGGGCCAAAGGTCAAGTTTCGTTGCCCAGTAGTCAAGGGGATTGTCTACCTCGGTTGGCAGGGTGCTGTCCAAGTAGGCCCGAGCCTGTTGTTTGAGGTCCTGCTCCAGGTCCACCTGATGCTGCTGCTGCTGCGGCTGGTTAGTAGTTTCCTCACTGCGCTGGTGAAGAAAGCTACTCATCATAGACTGCAGACTGAGGCAGCCGCTGCTGGTGGAGCTGCCACTGCTCCTACCACCCCACCCCTCCCCTGCTGCCATGGCAGCGGAACGCGAGCGCACAGGGCCCACAGTGTCTGAGGATGGACGTTGGCGCACTCAAAGGCAGAGACCAACTGACTACATAGGTGGTTTTTATAGTACGTTATTTTGGCCTCCCTCTCAGCAGGTTTTGTGAAAAAGGCCACCATTTTTGAACGGTAGCGAGGGTCCAACAAGGTGGACAGCCAAAAGTCATCCCTCTGTCTGATGGTTATTATTCGGCTGTCGCTACGCAAGCAATCCGAGCATGCTATGGGCCATTTGTGCCAAGGAATGCGAGGGACTCCCTGCCTCCATCTCCACAGCATACTGCCACGGTGCGTCTGGGTCCTCTGTCTCCTCCTCTCTCTACCAGATGCTCCTGCTCCTCCTCTCCTGTCCGCTGAGTGGAAAAACCACCCATTTCACTCAAATAATTCCTGAGCACAATGTCCTCCTCTACCTCCTCCTCTTCTTCCTGTCCTGCCCCCACAGGGGTCATGTGGCGTTGAGATCTGTGCGCCACGTCTACCGCACCCTGACCAGCCATTGTTAACAGCATTTGTTCCAGGACGTGCAACAGAGGAATGATGTCGTTCATCCCCATAGTCCTGGCCGACTCACGAATAGCGTGGGCCTCTCTCAAAGGGCGATGAGCACGCGGGCGCAGGTGGGTCCCGGATGAGCTGCCACTGGCTGACATCTAAGTTACACAGGGGTAGTAACCTGTAATTCCGTCTGGTAACATCAGGAAAATCGTGATGGCCTTTCGCAGTTCGTAAAGGTTGGTCTAACATGTGTAGGGATTGAAATCAACCTAGTTGCAACGTCGCAGATCAGGCGATGCTGTAGAAATTATTCGTCTGTGCCGCTGCAAGCTCAAGGAGGAGTGATGCCTTTGGCGGTATAGGAATGGCTGAAATGCATGCAAAAGTTTACGTGACATTTTAAGGATGTCTTGCAGTGGGTATGGTGTGGATTTTAGGAAACGCTTGACAACCAGAGTTGAACACGTGAGCAAGCATGGCGCATGGCACAACCTTCCTTGACGCAGAGCAGACACCATGTACTTTCGTTATCGTGTCGGTCAACATGGTTCCGATTTATCCAGTTGCGCGGGCTGGAGAACAGCCATCTGTCCGATTTTTCTCTGTTTCAGTAAACTCAGAAGTTCCTCCCTCTGTGTGACTACGTTTCGCCAAGGCATACCAGGTGCAGCACATGCGTGACACCGTTGCGCCCTGCACATGAGAATAATGCTCGGTCGGGTAAATGGGGACTTGGCACTGGGAGGTGGCGGCTGAGGACACGGTGGTAGAAGAAGGTGGTAGAGGGCGGACCATCCTTTGCTGGACCAAGGACGTGCAAACGTGGAGGCAAAAGCGGCATGACCTGCCCAATTTTTGGTGCGGCTGTGCCGGGCCCCCCCCCA